CTATTAATGTCAGAACTTAAATTTAACACTAGGTTACATCACCGTCTATATATCTTTGGGAATCACGTGCAAGTTAGGCAGGAAACTAAGGAAACAGCTTCACCTCCACATACACACCCACTGCCAACCTCTTACTGCTACCAGTTATCACAGCCACTTCTGTGGACGGGTCTGTGGCACAGAGAGCAACCTTGTACACTGATTTTCCTTCATTTGTCCATCAGGAAATTAAAAGCTTTTTAACACCTTCAGCTCAACAGAAACTTAGGGATTTAGACGACCAGACAACATCCGTCCCACTATTTCAATGATGACGTCCCCTCTGCCTTTCTGAGGTCCACCTGCACACGGCCCCAGCGGCTGTCCAGATGTCAGTCCTGCTCACTGAACAGGTCAATAACGTGTAATCAGGTCTACACCCTGTGGGCTTCTCGAACCTTGTGTCATAGAGCATATCTACTCAACATCCACCTCTAAATGACAAAAATGTTGACTCAACCCACGTAGATTTTTTTAAACTAAACACCCTGTTACGAACATTAAATTTTAATCCAAGATTTTATTTAGCCGAAACACAAGAGGACGACCTGCTGCCATGGAGAGAGCACACCTTTGCCACAGCCCCTGAATTAAACCCACAGGGGAGACACCAGACGGAGAGGTAAGAGCCAGTGGTGACATGGACCCAGCTCCCACCCGCTCGGGAGAACAGTGACTGGGGAGAATTCCTCCCGAATCCACATCCAGTAACTTCACGGGGAGCATTTACACCCAGAAATCGGCAGACACCACACCCCAGGGCTTCCCACCCGCCTCTCCCTCCAGGCACAGGAGAGTTGGCTGTAAACTCTGACGAGCACACGTCACTAGTAGGAACCCAACATCAGAGTCCGTAACACCCATGTCTTCAGTGAACATCACATTACATATTTGCAAATACACAAAAATCAGTCCCACAAAATAGATGGAAAATATTTAAAGTCTTTCCACCCCACTTGTTACATGAGAATTATTTCACAATCATCTTGCATTCAGTGCCAAGTAGAGATGTAAGGTATCTCAAAAATCAAATACCACCGCGTGCTCAATCTAAGTGAGGTTTCGTGATGCAGCTGTTATTAGCAAAGTCTGCATAGGTAAGTGCTGCTGCTTTATGCAAAATCAGTTCACTTTGAAACTTCGACTTATTCTTAGCAGTCAAACAGGCTGTCTCCTGATAGAGAATAAATGCTGTGAGGCAGCCAGGCTTGGAGTCAGAATCCCAGCCCACTGGGCAGCCTACATGAAAGAGAATTCATTAAGCTCACCACTGCCTAAGCTTGATTTTCCCAGATGACGTGAATTCTGAAGGAACTCCACTGACGATCAAGATAAGGAAGCCAGACTGTCCAAGAACTAGACAGCTCCCAACCTCTCCACCGCTCAGATTCTCCTTGTTACGGAAATATGTTTTCATAAGCTGCATTTTCTTTCATGGAAGGCTGCCACTGATGAGTTACCTAATATTGGTTGTATATAAATTATGTACAGATCTTATGAGACATGGAAGAGCAGGAGAAAGATTAATTACTTATGCTGTGCTACATTTCACACCAAGGAATCCAAGTTCCTCCTCCCACCAACTCAACAGTGAAAAGCACTAAAGCAACTACAGGAGAGCTCTGGTGCCTAGAGGACAAAACTGCCCGTAAAAACTCAAAGAGCGGTCAACTTTAGTCCAGAAAACAGCCAGTCACGATAAAATGATGTTTGTGAAGAAGACACTGCTCAAAAGAGGGTTCTAAACCACACAGGAATGAGCGCCATTTTGGACTCGTTTAACTGATGGTGTCCTTGAGTCCCACCAGAGACCAGCCAGCCAGCCAGGATTCAGACGCCAAGGTGCCAGCCCTCCACTGAAGGAGCGGCTTGTCCAGGAACGCTGCCCTGGCTCTGAGGGCTTTCTGAGGTGGCTCCCCCAGAGCGGGGTGTGAAGGCAGGAAGGACCCACGGCCCACATCTCAGCAGCCATCCTAATCACCGTTGGGCTGGACTCAAGCCAGAGACGGTCACCAAAGTCCCAGACATACACTCAAGTCCCCTTCTCGTCAGCTGTTCCTCGTGGGTGGATCTGCACTGCAGGTGCCTGTTGCACACGGACGGCCACAGCGGGCCTCCCAGGAAGGGGCAAACCCAAGACACAAGAGGGGGCGGAGTCACGCAAACGAGGAAAGGGAAGAATGGAAACGTGAAAGAGCTGAAGTGCCTGTGCACCGTGTCTGTGCTTGTGCAAAAGGAGCTCCCTGGCTGCGTTTCTCCTTCACAACATAAACATGCTTTATCTGCCCAACTCTCAGTTTTCCTGAGAAAAACATGAAAAATAAGGCAGCATACAGAGGTAATCCATAGACGTCACTCTAGCTCTTCCTATCATTAACCCAAATTGTCACTAGCAATCAAATAGCAAGAGAAAATGACATGTCTGTCTTTCAAAAGTAGCCACGTTTAATTCAGAGAAGGGCTACATAAAACTCAGGGGCTGATGTCGCCCCTCCTACTTCGTCGCCAGCTCTATTTGGTGTACCACTTCTACAACAGGGAAAAACACCTGGAAACAGGGGTGTCTTTTTCCAGATATTCAGCTACAACATACGTAAGTTAACGGAATATACAGCATTTCTAAAATAAGTAAAACTCAAAATGCAAACAAAATGAAAGTCAGGATTCATCCCAAAGTTGGTCTTTTTTTGAACTGTGGTAAATACACATAACATACAATTCACCATCTTAACCATTTTTCAGTGCACAGCTCAGTGGCACGAGGCACGTGCACGTTGCTGGGCAGCATCGCCACCATCCACCTGCAGAATGTTTTTCACCTTCCCACACAAACTTTCTACCCTCTCCAAAGCTGACCTTCTCAATCAAACACCTGAACAGTCTTCTAGAAAACCACCAAGGTGAGAACAGACTACGTTCAACTTTATAAGGACCTCAAAAATCACTAAAATGCAAAAGCAATAAGAACTGTCTGAGCCTGAAGAAATCTCCAAACAACCTAAATAATCAAGCAGCTTTGGACATATTAGATCAAATTATAAGGTAAAAACTAGAATTGCCAAACCTTTGAATTCGGGATGAACTTATACTTTGAAGACTTATAATTTCAGCCAGCTCTTTTTTCTTCCTTTTTGATATAATTCCTTCCCTTTTCCATACCTAATGCCACAGCCTCGGGTCTTCTAGAACTGACTTCAAAGTGAAATGCTCTATAATATAAAATTACTTTTAAGGACATTCATTGCCTGGTAAATGTCCTCAATATTCAAGTCTTAACAGAAGGGAGCTTTTCGGTTCTAGAGGTTGATAACTTGAATTCTCATGAAAAGCAAATAAAGCATATTTGGCAATATTTCCCATACTAACTTGAAACTTCTTACATAAACTGTCTAAAAATATAGAAAACTCATTTCAATATTTAAAATCCACTTAGATTCCCACAGAACAGTACTTAACTTTATCATTATTTCTGATGCTTTTCAGAATCAAAGTAATGACTCACCCGGAAGATATAAGCTAATCTAGAAAATTCATTCCTTCTGTAAATCATGTTACACTCACTGTCATTGATAGACACAGTTTAAAAAAAATCTTTGTTTCTTCACACGTGACTTGTTCATATATTTTCATCACTAACCAAGACTTTCAGAATATAGACAGAGGCCCAAAAAATAGCCAGCCATGTTCTAAGCAAACTTCCCCATAGGCAGTAAATATGCTCAAATTCGCAGCCAAGATCCATTTGAACAGGTGACAACAAACAAAACACGGGCAACTCCATGAACTTTTTTGAAACATAATAGGGTCAACGATGTAATCTCTCCATGTTCATAAGCCAAAAAAAAAAAAAAATGAAGATCCTATTTTTCCCAAAATACCTGCTGTTTTACATTGGAATGTATGATATAAACCAATAACTTATTGATCACTTAAGAATGGTACCCCAGTAATGATACTAGCTGGCTAATATGCTATTTATAATGGAAGCCGAGTAAATCCCAACCGATTAAATACTTCTAATTCTCACAGAGAGCCCATTATGATTCATTTCGTTGTAGCTAAAAACACACAGGGAATTTCTGCACACCTCTGTTTCATACCCAACAAAAGTATCCTGGGATGCTAGCAGACCTGTTTACAGGACACGACCGACTGTAGGAGGGACCAAGCTCCATCAGAACCCTTTGCTGAAAAGATGCAGCACCAGCATCCTCCGCCTTTTGCTCAGGACTTGGCATTTCAGGACTTGATGAAAATACCTTAAATTAGAAACCCTGCACGGGAGAGTACCTGAGACATAGATCCACAGGATAACACACTCCAGATTGGTTCTTTTTTGTTTGTTTCTTAATTTTAAAACAACGAAAGTTCCAAAGATTTTTTTTTGACTTTTTTTTCCCCCTCCAATGTGTTTCCTTAAAAGTAATGCAAACCACCTCACTTACAACACACAGTCACATACATCTGTGAGAAATTACACAGTCACATGCTTTCCCATCCAAAGACATCCACCCTCTGGTTTCATTCACTGAGATCCTGAAGGTTTTAAGAACATAAAATCTGGCCAGTTCCTATCTTGATTGCAAACAAACTCCAAATATATTCCATGCTAGCCAACGATGGTGATTTTCCTCAATAAATAAGTATAATCAACAAGAGAAACAACTTTGAAAATAATACATTCACCTTTGCAAGACAACCAGTTTCCCTTAAAAATCCAAGATGACAACCATCCAAATCTATTTCCTTTGTCAAATAAAAACAGATCTCTCAGCTCAGGTTACAACTCACTGTAGGACTGAATAAGCCATTTTTTCGCTTGTTTCAAAACCAACAATACAATCCTGCACTAAAATAACAACCAAGAAAACAAAAACATCTAAATTATGCAATCATATTTCTCAATTTTCCCACTGATATAAAACCCATAATCTCAACTCAGAAGAAGGAAACGTATTTACCTGTATTCCTGTCTGGTAAGATACAGCAATGCTTCTGCAGAATGCCAGGCAAAACCTGTTCCAAAACAAATAAATAAAACACACTTGGTCATCATTCAGGTAGAGAAAGACATCTCATTAACTGTTGCAAGTGTTTTTCTAATAAGGTCGTTCAATGTTGCACAAGGTCATCACGCCCAGAACGATCTAACAAATTAAACAGCACAGGGAAATTCTGATGACACACATTTTTCACCAGAAAGGTGAATCAGGTAAGTGCTGATTATATATGCCGTTCTGTTTAACGTATGCCCCTAATGGGTCCTGAGACTCTCTGGAAAGCTACACTCAAGGGACTCCTACAATAAGGCAAATGGCCCGCCAGTTTCCGTGATGGCTTTTAAAATATGAGATGCAATTAGACCCTGAAAATGGAGGACTGTGGGGCTGTAGCCTGGCTCTGTCTTCTAGGATCTCAGCAGAGATGCTTTCATCAAGGATGAGTCACAAAGGGAATGTGAAAGAAAAGGCTGTGTTTGCATTCACAGCTTGGTGGTGAAGGAAATATCTTATTTGATAAGGGAAAGAAAGGTGAAAATAATTGAGAATGGCTTTCCCCAGAAAATTCAGCAAGGTAAGGCAATTGCAAAGCACAGACTGAAAGAATTTGCAACTGAAGAGATCTCTGCGGGAATCTGATGGCTATGCTTTCCAAACTCAATTAGAGTAAAGGCTGAGCTTCCTCTTAAACTCTCTGTGGAGGAAGCTGCAGCCATCCCTCGGCCTCGTGGTCCCCGCCATCCAAAGTTCTCAGCCCAGAAGCCAGCGTCACTCATTCTGGAGCAATGCGCTCAGCGGAGAGGGAGAAGACAGGACCAGCTTGCCCTTGACCAACTTACGTCCAACTGAGTAAACAGCAGGTTCTAATAAATAGGATCAACACATGAGAAAACCAACGAAGGTTTTCTCTGGAATAAGAATTCCCTTCCCTTCCACATCATCCACTATCCCTCTGTGTTGAGATAAGAAAACTCTCTCCAGAGGCCGACCCAGTGGCTCAGTGGTTAGGCTCTCACATTCTGCTTTGGTGGCCCTGGGTTTGTGGGTTCCCAGGTGCGGATCTACACACCACTCATCAGGCCAGGCTGTGGCGGCGTCCCACATAAAGTAGAGGAGGATTGGCACAGATGTGAGCTCAGTGACAATCTTCCTCACCAAAAAAAGAATATTCTCTCCCAAGTATAATCAAACCCAAACAAGACAGTATTACCAATTTGTGACTCTGAACAAATCTAAGATTGAAAATAAAGCAATAACCAAATCAGTACCTAGTAAACACTGTACAAAATGTGGAATTAAAAGTTCAAAAACATGTCTGTTAGTCTATGAAGTTGACTAGTTGGGACACAGAACAACAGTTTGGGAACAATCAGGGATCAATTAAGACTAAACTTTGTGATAAGAACAGCATCAACTCCTGACTCTCCCTTGTGTACATGGCATCAGCGTTCTCCCTGTCAGCCAGGTCTGAAACCATGGCATCCTTTCTGACACTCTCTCTCCCTCAACCACCCGTGGCCCTTGATGTTGAGTTATGCAATCACACACACATGCACACACACACGGCTAAAATCCTGGGCTCCTTGGGACTCTGCATTCCTTCTCATTCCATGGCCAACACACATGCTCACTGATCTTTTCCAGCACTTTCTGAAGGGCCTTACAGGTTAACACAAGACCTAAGAAAGTCTCCCTCAAAAGAAATAAATGACCCTGTAAGTTGGAAAAATGCTGCAAAATATCTGATCCACTTGGAGGACGAAAATACAAGTTCCCATAATAAAGTTCTCCAGTCCTGCAGTTAAATTTATCTGACCACAGAATACTTTTGTGTTCCTACCACCCATTAACCTCCAGAGGGGAAAATGCTGGCCCAGTGCATTGCAAAAGCCACGTAATTGGTCTACCTGCAGATGCCTCCCCAATGAAATAATCGAAAGTGTTGCTGCTGGGTTAATTTTTCTAAGGAATTATTGCCAACAGATAGACCACAAAAATGTTCAAGATGGAATTCTAGGTGCTTCTCTAGTGCCAATCCTTAGCTCCAAGCATATACAGCCAACTGCATTCCACAAACACACCTTGAAGGTGTGGAGACAGAGGCTGGATCCACTGGATCACAGCATGAGACCGGCCACCACCAGCGCTGATCCACCGTAGCGTTGGCGGTATTTTTATCCAGAGGAAAACGAGCTGAGAGTGGCATAATGAAAGCTTTGCAGAGGGTCGTAACTGGCAACCAGGAGGTGTATATGAGGTGAAACAAGATGATGTGCTCACACTGGGGGTGGAAGTGAGATGCAGATGCTAAGCTGGTGTCTGGTTAGCCCTAAATAGCTCAGCACAGGCAGCTTCCCTCCCCAGTAAGCCCCTTCTCAAACGTGGCAGCCCAAGCAATCAAACCCGCTAGATCTGGGGTTCTGGACAATTCACAGAACCGCCTGGGAGAGGTCCAGGTAGTACTATGGGGTTCCTTCAGATTCGGGGATTCTCACTTGGGGTGGGGGCCTGTTCTCAGAACTACAAACACCTCTCCCCTGAGGTTCTGAGGCCTCTGTCAATCCCACACCACTGGTAAAGTGGGAGTCCCTCCTGTGGGGTCTGGGTCACACAGCTAAGCTGTGTTAGGGAAGAAATAGCTGATTTAAACTAAAAAGTAGATAAGCTTACTTGACAGATGATTCTAAGAAGAAATCCTAATTGTTCCCAGGCACAGCTTCCCTTAGTTAATTTTCACTGGGCCCTATATGCCTGACCCTGCTGATTCTTCCAGTTCCAGCTTCCAGCTTCTCTCCAACATCCTAGAAGCTGCCTCACGCTGCTACCAACCAACACAGCCACTCGCTCCATCCAAGGTCCCACCAAAGCAACACTCTTGCCCACCACCCCACAAGCCTTTTCTGAACATGCCAAGTAGCTCTTTTCATTTGAGGCCAACCAGGAAAATACAAGGATCCATGACATCATAAACACTCCATAGCAGAATTCACTTTGACTTTCCTAAGGGCAGACAATTTGTGCTCAAAAATGGCGCTCACATCTAATCTTGACAAGTTCCTCCTAGCTATGGCCACAGGTAAGACACCTGTGTTAAATCTTAGACGGAGCCGCAGCCTCTGAAAATGCTACGCACACATCACCGCCACGCACCCGGCCTCGGCTGCAGGAAACGGGGGAGTGTGCTCTAATAGGTTTATTTCTTCCTCTCTGAAGGATTTACAGAAGACAGCAAAGGAGAATGAGATTATCCTTCTTGCCCAAAAGCACTTTTAAAAGTTCAATTGCACTCAACCTGCCCATTCTATCGGAGCGTTTAACCGATAAGAATAATTGGGAGGCACCGTGTTCTGCATGCCACAAGCAGCTGGGTTAAGTAGAATGTATTCAACTGATGCCAGAGTCTTCCGTCTTCTGTCAACGCTTGCCCACATAATCATGACACGACACCAACTTCACACCCTTTATGAAATCATTCCTGGGTATGTCCTCTGTGTCAGACGTCCAGATTCTTCGAACTGACGACCTGTTCCCAAAATACCAATTTCAAGGTTTCACTCCATGTTAAATCCAAATTCCTCTCTGGTGGTGCCAACCTAAACAGGGTTTCCCTTAGCTGATATGCTGGGCCAAGAGTGCTGGGGTTGTAGTACCCTCAGATCAACTCCTGCTCACCCAACGTGGCAGTCACTAGACACAGGGGATAATAAATTTAAATAAATAAAATCCATTCGAATTTAAAATTCAGGTCCTCGGTTGCACTGGCCACATTCAAGTGAATGTGTGGCTTGTGGCCGCCATATTGGTAGCGCAGATAGCGAATACTTGCACTATTTTTCAGATGAAGAAAATAAGGTCCCAGAGGCAAATTCAGGGCTCTGGTCATCCAGACAGTGCCTGTCTCCGCACAACCCTACCCTATTCTCTCATATCCAGAGGACTGTGTCCCAACAGGCCGCACACAGATGCGTGCTCGATTCTGTGCCCTCCCCTCACCCTCACTGACATCTCCAGTAACAGCTCAGCTCCGCTGCCCGCTGGCCCCTTCCTCACCTCCAGAGTAGAGAACATGGCTGTTTACTGTACAAAGTCCACTTCGGATTGGGAAAAATTCTACCCTACGGTGAGCGACCTTCCTGTGGCTGCTGTAACCAAGCGCCACGGACTGGGTGGCATAGAACAACACAAGTGTGTTCTCTCGCAGTCCTGGAGGCCGGAAGTCCAAGATCAAGCTGTCAGCAGGGCCTGCTCCCCTTGAAAGAGCTGGCGACATCCTTCCTCGTCTCTTCCGGCTTCCGGTGGCCCCAGATGCTCCTCAGCTTCTGGCAGCGTCACGCCAGTCTCTGCTCTGTCTTCACACGGTCTTCTCTCTACACGTGTTTGGGTCCAAACTCCCCGTTCTTATAGGGACCCCAGTCACGCTGGATTGGAGCCCACCCTAGCGACCTCAGCCTAACTTGGTTAAATCTGCAAACACCCTACTTCTAAATAAGGTCATGTTCTGAGGGACTGCAGGTGAGGACCCCGACATATCTTTTTGGGGGGACACAATTCAACCCACAACATACAGTAAAACTCAGCGGTTAGGGAATTCGAGTCAGGAGATCTTGGTGTCCTTCCTAACCACGCCGTTTCCCAGCAAGTCACTAAGTGGTAGTATTGGCAGTGGTATTATTTACTCCTTCAGTTGCATTGGAGGGCTCCACCGTGATTCTGATCATTCTGTCCTGCTCTTGAGCTGTTTCTGAGCCAGTCAGTAGGTCATTTACACGTGGCTTGTTCCACAGCCAAACCTGGCTACTACCAAGTATGGTCACTAATGTCATGCAACATCCTTTTTTTTTTAAATCTTTTGCCCCAACCAACTCATCACTATTTCCAGAAATCAGGGATGAAAATGTCCTGCCATGGGGGCTGGCCCGGGGGCACAGCAGTTAAGTTTGCAGGCTCTGCTTCGACAGCCCAGGGTTCATAGGTTCGGATCCTGAGTGCGGAGCGCTGCACCACCTGTCAAGCCAT